CTACAACGTCTACAAAACGGCACATATTCCTCCGCGGGACAAGGCGTGATACGCCTTGCGCTAAAGGCAATAGTCCGCTCGTTTATTTACAATAACAAACTTAATTAATAATTGAACGCCTACAAAACTGTTTGGATACGAGTAACCAACAATCGTCTAAATTTGTTAGCACACCAGTGTCTGTTGCGCGAATCGGTTTGATTCAAAACAATAAATAAGACCTGGCCACACGAACAGGAAGCGAGGAGATTCTCATGGCGCCCGACTAGAATGAAGCTACAATTACCTCTTACCGATGCCTGTACTGTATCGCGCCGCTACGCTTAAGGACACGCATCCACTCGCATAAACACGGTAAGAAAAAAAAACATAAATACGCTCAGTAGGTTATGATTTTTTTATTTTGGTCAGGGCGAGCGTTTGGGCGATCTGGCGGAGTTTTGAGGCCCTCGAGGTCCCCAGTTGAGCTTCCGAGAATGCCTGATGTAAAAAGAGGTCCGCCTGTTGGAAAATGGCGACGCGGCGCAGGCAGGATCAAGGGCAGCTAGGCCATAAGCTACTGCATGCTAAAGTACTGAAGTACAATACTCTCGTTTTGGACCTTGTTGCGACCTAAGCTTGGACTTTGTCGACTCTGGAAAACGTGTTTGGTTGCGTTCATGTCCGACAGCCTTTGAATATAGTTGGACATTACTGTATTATGTTTGAATATCATTACCCGTTAATGGCGTTCGAGGTTAAGGCTGAGAAGGAAAGCGAGTTTGGGTCCAATATGTCGTTAAGCGTCCAACATATTCTCCACATTATCTATTTGTTATGTTGTCATTGCTTTGGTGGTGAAAACACTTCAAAGATTTGTGAACGACTCACGTTATGTCCACGGTTGTGCCTACACTACCACAGAACTACGCTGACAAACATGCTTTAACCCAGTGCTCTTCAAACTTTTACTTTTATGAGCATCGACAAAAAAACAAAACAAAAACAAAACAAAACATTTAGCTCACCAAGTACTGTACCACCTTCACGACCAACATTAACCCCTAACAGAGTGGTGGGCCCAAGTGTTTATTGAAACCGATCAGGTTTTTGTCCCTGAAAAATAAAGGTAGTCATTGTAAGCACTGTAACATGGGTTGAAGATTGACACTGTATTCAAATATAGGGGAAGGGGGCGACTGTAATTATGTAATGATTCAAGTCAAATGCATTGCACAAACTTCAAACCCACATTGAACTCAAATAAATGATTAAAAACAAACAGTTCTCAAAGTTTAAGTTGCAAATGTGTTGTACTTGAGTTACTTTCAACAAAACTGTACTTCAATGTACTGTACGGGATTTAAAGATTTTTTTTTTAAAGGCAGCTTTAACCAACGCCTTCACTCTCATTACATTGATTGGATTTGTGACTGACTCCGTCATGAGCTTTGGCCTGACATTTTCCACTGTGCACTATGAATGCTTACGTGTTGTTTCCAATAAACGCATGAGAACATGAATTTGTTTTTGTGTTGTTAATTTAACAACACAGTACTATGTTTGTCTGCGGTGATTTAAACAAAGATCAGATCTCATTTTATGAACACTTTCCCTGTTCCCAAAGGGCTTCGGAAGTCTGTGTTTCAAATATTTTGACTCATGCAAACGGAGGTCAACAAAATAGTGTCACTGGCCGCACCTACCACTCAAAAATAATAACGTATTAATCAAAACACAGCATCGTTATGTTCGTCAAGGTGAAACTCACATGAAGGAATCATCTACCAGAACTCAGATTGCAGCGGCAGCGTAATTACATAAAATGCCTGGCCTGCAAATGCATACGGTACCCATAGTTTGAATAATTAGGAGTATTATTATTACTTGTCTGTGCAGCGACTCATCTTATATTTTTTCCTGTCCAGTTGTGATGGATTCTGACGAGAATGAGGTGGAAAGCAGCAGCGATGCCGGCCCCTCCGGCATGGAGGAGCCGTCGGAGAGTGGCATGGGCATGGAGTCGTCGGAGGCCATGTTGGCCGACAGCAGCGACGCCGCCTCTTCTCACGTGCAACCGCCCGAGTCGGACTGTCATGTGGGACAGAGCTCCGAGGGATTTGTGGTAAGACATCGCACATGAGTTCAACGGGGGAACCACGGCGAGCGAGAGGTTAAGCGCGTCTGCCTCACACCTCTGACGTTCTGGGTTTGGAACTTGGCTTGCGTGTGGAATTTGCAATTTCCCCCCCCCCCCCTCGTTGCTCGTAGCAACCGATGTTGACGTGAGCCCGGTAGCATGCTACATTGACTTAAGTCGCTTTTTGAGATGCACTCGCTACTTTCAATTGGGTGGCGGTAATTTTGTTGTGTTTTGCTAGAGGTTAATGTGGTGAATGTCCAAGAACTGGTCTTGAAAGCAAAAACAAGAACTAATTGAAAGTGATAAATAAATGTGGGGATTGGGGCTAGGGGGGCGGGGTCTGTCACTGCACCAAAAACTAAAGGTACAACAAAATGTTGAAAACAAGTGGGGATTGGGGCTAGGGGGGCGGGGTCTGTCACTGCACCAAAAACTAAAGGTACAAGTACAACAAAATGTTGAAAACAAATAAGTAAAACACACTCGCACACAATTCCTCTGAGACGATGGAAATACAAGCAACCATTAAGTAAAACACACTCGCACACAATTCCTCTGAGACAAGCAACCAACATTAACAATGGGACACTTCATTCACTCAGACAATTTACAGTTGCTAGGTTAACGTGGTGAGATTTCGGTGTAAAAGGCCAAATGTCATTTCTTTACATTTTACAGGATGAGCTAAGTAAATGTTTGGAAACGGCGCTCGACACTCATTGCCAAGTGTCATTGGGCGGCCTGGTGACGAAGTGCTACCTCCACGGGTGAAAATCTGGCTTCCGCTGCACTTCACATTCTGTGCCGTTTGAAAACAAGCAGCCTTTTGCTAAGCGGCAACGCTTTGGTCCTGGCCTGGGTTGCCAGGGAAACAAAAGTCCATCCGTTCCCTCCTTTAACTGAGACAGAACTGCCACCCTGAAGTGCGGCAAAGGAATCTTAAAATTCTTTGTCCATTGTTGAGCTTGACCTAAGAATGTCAGCGACCTTTTGTAAAAACATCGGGGAACAGCTTTAAAAAGTGAAAACAAACCCTAAAATGTCTCCTTTGAATGTTGAGCTTGCCAAGCAATGACATCACCTCGATCCTTCTCCAGGTCTTCATCCCTGAGACCAGCTCCAGCACGGACGTCCGAGTGTCCTCGGTTCACCTCCCGGACTCCTCCTCGGTCGCCCAGTCCACGAGCGTTTCCAGCGTGTCCACGGTGACTCAGTCGGTGCTGGTTTCCGAGTCAGTCCAAGTGCTCGTTCACTCCAGCGCCGCCGCGTCGGAAGGAGCCATGATGGTGTCCGACTCCACTGCCTCAACCTCATCCGACCTGGGCTCGGCCATCGACAAGATCATCGAGTCCACCATCGGCCCGGACATCATGAACGGTATCGCCGCCTTCTGATCTTATCACAGAATGGACGATTAAATGCTTGTGTTTGGATTGATATGAAAGGCAAAACGCCGTATCTCGATTTCTTCCCCACAGGTTGCATAGCCGTCACCAGTGCGGAAGACAGAGACGCGGAACCGACCCAATATCTCATCCTACAAGGTGCAGATAATGTGATCTGCCGTTAGTTTGTGTGTCAGCTCGTGTCAGATGTCGCACATTGCAACTCACACACTGGCGGCCTTCAACCTCTGATGCTTCTTGGGATGATGTCAAATTGGCGGGTTTTACTTCGTTCTGCATCGGTACCTTTACATACATGCTAGCCAGTCCGTAAAAAGTGAAAATAGTGAAGGCAAACTTGCGGGCCGCAGTGTCGTTAGCGTTCCTCTGACAAACGAGCAAACAATTTGGAGCGGCACATCCGCTGTCACTGGACATGGTTTTCATCCCTTCTGTCTTCTTAAGGTGCTCCTATGGTAGCCCACATGTCCTCTTCGGCCCTGTCGAATCGTATCGCCATCGAGGCACTTTCCGAGGGTCCCACGTCCACCTGTCTGGACCAAGGAGACATGCAGAGGAGCCTGGAGCCCGACCAGCCCGACGACCGACCCGGACACTCGGGCTACCCAGAAGACAGCAGCAGTCATCCGGATCAGCCCCAACACTCTCACCCCTCCCAGTACATGGACTGCGGTGCGGATGGCCCGGACCAAACGGGGGAGTCCTCACCTTCCTACGCCGAGTGCTCTGAAGAACCCGACCAGACGCGCTCCCGCTCGGGCTTCGCCGACTACAGTGGCGACAACAGCGACCAGGACCTTCCCGGGTATGTGGAATGCAGTAGGGCGGATTCCAACCCCACCAACCTGGGCAACTACGTGGTGGAGTGCAGCGCCAGGTATCTGCGCGGCGCGGATGACGGAGAGCGGCCGCATCACTCGCGCGCCTACATCGACAGCAGCGCGGATCACGAGACGCAGACCGGCCGGCAATACGGCGGCGAGTATGGCGGCGTTGCCGCCGCCGATTCTGAGCAACCCGAGTGTTCCCGTTACGCGGAGAACAGCAACGGCCCCGACGCGTCTCTCTATACTGACGACAGCTCCTCGTCAGACCAGCCCGTCGCCGACACGGCAGATTCCGGGGGGGTCGCGGAGACGGCCGAGTGCAGCCAGAGCCGACCGGGGCTCTACATCAGCAGCAGTGGCACCTACACGTCCGACACCAAGCCCGCCGTGGCGCCGCCGCATTGCTCAGCCGGCCGGGACGACCCTCGGCAGGAGGAAGCCGCCCCGGGCGGGGACGTGGACGCGTCGGCCGTGGCTGAAGGTTCCGGAGACCGGCCGCCCAACTTGGCTGAACTGGAGGAGATGATGGAAGTTGTGATCGTTCAGCAGTTCAAGTGCAAAATGTGTCCGTACAAGAGTGTCTCCAAAGACACGCTGATTAACCACATGAGGGACAAACACTTCAAACCCGCAGGTAGGTTAGCGTGCTCGATTTGATCTGGGATCGATTTTAGCTTGGCTAGTGGATCAAAGACGTCATGCTGCAATGTGCACACGTCTGCTACAAGCTAGGCTTGAAAGCAACAAGAAGCTGTAGCATCCGTTAACGAAAAAGAGATTGGCTCTCTTCTCCTGTCCCATGTAAATCCGCTTCAATTCCAAGCCGCGACTCCCAGTTCCACATACGCATCGGCGCTTGTGTCGTGAGGCGTATGCATACTCATTCAAATCTTTTTACTGACTCCCCCTGTTCTGCGTCCAGGGGGTTTGCAAACCAAGCGCAAACGTGGCCGACCTCCCAAAAACTCCATGCCGGCTCCCCAGCAGGCAGACCAAGAGAAGAAGGACGCGGCGGTTATGGAGAGAAGAGCCAAGCAGGCAAAGGTGTCTGCATCTCATCAGGCTGAGGAGGATGAAGATCAGGAAGACCAGGTTCCGGATGCGGGTGCGATTGATGACTCTGAAGGTCGGTCTTAGGTTTAGTGTTGATCAGGTGGGGCACATCTCATTTCATCTCGAATGCTCATCCCTGCTCATTTGTTCCTCAGAGGACAGTAACTACAACCCAGCTGAAGAGGACTGCCGCGGACGACTACCTGCCATTTTGAAAAAACGCACCCCTCCCATCTCTTCCTCCTCTCAAGCTCGTCCGCAGCGTCGAGTTGGCCGTCCGAGAAAATACAAACTTCTGGAAGAAGGTGACGACGGCCAAGGTGGGTGGTCACTTTTCCAAAGAGCATGACGGCAGAGGTGCGAGTCACTTTCAAAAAAAAAAAGCCCTCCAAGTCGAGTCCTAAGTTTGAGCCAAGTTTCAAGACCTCGCCCCCCTCCCCACCCTGCCGAGAGTGACCCGCCCGTGTGTCTTCACGCCCTCCCGACAGCGGCGGAGAGTTTGGCGAAGAAGCCGAGAGCGAACGCTGACCCCGGCGCGGCGGACGAGGCCAGCTCCTCGGGCTTGGACAACGACGGCGGCGGCGGCGTTCTGGCGGCCGACGGGGACGAGGTGGAGGTGGTGGTGAGCCAGTCCGACTCTGAGAACAAAGACCCCTCATCCAACTCGCAGCAAGAAGAATTCTTTGAGAGGAAACGAGGCCGCCCCTCCAAGTGCTTTCTTCGCAAGAAATACAAGAAGCATTTGAGTCGCAAGTAAGTGCCCTTTCTCGTCACTTTTTCCGTGTCATTCAAGGTTTGTGGCCAAATCTTTTTTTTTTTTTTTTTTGTCTTGGACCAAGCGACAGCCACTTACCCAAATAGATACCGATCATAAATCCGTATTGTTGTGGAATTTCTGGAACGGTGAAATCTTTTGTTGAGCTCAGTTCAAGCCTTTCGCTTCCTCTGCGACTCCGGTTTCGACTCAGGACTCGATTTATACAGGCATTCACGATGTCTGTCGGTGTGACGTCGAGCTACAGTTGAGGCGGGGCCAAACAGTGGCCCAACAGTGTTTCCGGACACGCAAGTGCTCAGGGGGCGTATACATTCTAAATATTAGCGTGCTCCCTTGAAGTCCAAGTCCATTTGCGACGCTGGTTCGGCTTTTTTTTTTTTTTTTTAAATTTTAAATCTTTCACAAATCATATGAAAATGATTGGTCATGTTTTCCGTGTCTTGATAGGAATTGAAGTTGCCAGTTTCTGCTGTGAAAAATAGTTGCTAATCGCTTGGGTTCGCCACACTGACTCATGTGCTCATGTCAATTATTGTACACGTTCTCGTTTTGTAGCCACTTTCAGCAGGGCACGTCAGGGGGATCTCCTTTAAACTAACACCAAGTTTCCTCTTTCAGTCGGTACTTCAAATCCCTCAAGCCGCTCCTGAGACCTCACAGCTGCTGGATCTGCGGCTCGCGCTTCCTCACGCAGGAAGATCTGCGCTTCCACGTGGACTCCCACGAAGGCAACGAGCCGGAGCTCTTCAAATGCCTCCAGTGCAACTACCACTGCAAGCGCTGGTCCTCACTCAAGGTCTGGAGGTGCCCCGTCGCACTCGCACACTTCAGCTGCTCTTTGTGTGTGCGTGTAACTTTGCGTGTGTGTGTGTGTGTGTGTGTGTGTGTGTGTGTGTGTGTGTGTGTGTGTGTGCGCGCCTTGCAGGAACACATGTTCAACCACGAAGGTACAAAACCTTTCAAATGTGAGAAGTGCGATTACTCGAGCGTGTACAAGAAAGATGTCATTCGTCACACCGCCGTTCACAACAAAGAAAAGTAAGGTTCATTGTGTTTCATCAGGAAAGGTCCTGTCATAAGAGTTGCGTTAGGTTTGTCATTGTTTTTCCCCACCTGAAAAGTAGTGACCTGAAATCAGGCGCCCGACCTTTATTGACCGAAGATCTACTTTTCAGGCTGCTGCGCGCGGACACGCATGCCATGATGCGCAACAGTCATAATGGCCCCTTACATGAACGAAACAGAAAAAAAGCAGATGTAAGAGTTTGTGGAAAGGAAATCACTGCCCACCTTAGTCGGCACCCGAATCCGAGGCATGAGACGCACTTTTGCAGCATCTCAAGTCCAAGAACATCGCTAACCTAGCTTACGTGTTTGAAAATGCTTCTCCTGGCGCTCCAGATTTACGTTCTGTGCCAGTGCCATCGGTGAATTGCAGATGAAACAAACGGAATATGTATTAACAAAACAAAACAAAATGGCACCAGCCCTGATCGCAAGCTGAAATTGCAGACTGCTGAGTGCTACAAACTTCCGGTGATGCAGATCATGCGCCACCATGGGTTCAAGGTGACCTGCTTTTTAATCTTTTGTTTTTTTTTTTCAGTACTTTTTTTCATGAAAGTGAAACTGATAGGATGCTTCGGGTGCAGTGTGCACGTGCACGAACACAAAATATATCATGTTAGTAACATGCACACAGACACTTGTGGAGGCTCTCAGTCGTACAGGAAAGTTCCATCGTAGAAAGGGTTCTGTCAGTCGTCATCTGTACCTGTGGGTAAAAAACAAAAACAAAAAAGGACGTTTCGCTTCTCTCACAGAAGCTTCGTCAGCGGTAGACAACCCTGAAGTCTCCGTGACGACTCCGGGAAGTTGCTCTGCGCTAAAAGGCTGAGCGTGGCCTGTTTTCTACGATGCACACAGACACAAATCTTTTTTTTTTTATTTCCCCATTTCCTCCTACTCCCCTCATGATCGACTTGACAACTAAAGGTTTTCTTCTCCTTTTCTTATCTTATTAGCGTCGGATGTGTGCTGCAGCCTGTTGAAAGGCAGCTTACACACTGGCCTGGTCGCCAGCCGACCGCAGGAAATCAACAATTCCATGCATACATATGATCATTTTGTAAACGCACCAAAATGTGTTTGAGAATTTCTAACTGTCTTTATCTTTGCTTCCACCAGGAAAAAAAAGACAGACGCGGTAAGTTTTTGCCATTTAAGAGGGCTTAGCATGTATAATTGACTTTTTAATATCTTCAAAAGTTGCTCTTCAGTGCCCGTTCACCTATCAAGTGTGAAATTACACAACGATTCTCCAAATTGTTTTTGATTGAAAAATTTTGGCTCAATGACATAATGTTGCTCCTGCATAAAGTTTCTTTGCCCGTGATGTGGCTGATACTGGGCCATTGTCAAATGTCATGTCAAATCCCAAAGGTAAGCAAAGCTGCGAGATTGGCGTTATTTGAAAGCGGATCAGCTTCTGATAAGCGGCACAAATGCTCACATTTTAGCAGAAGTGTTGATGCGACTGCGGCGGGGGGACGGGGCGCGGGGGGGGGGGGGGGTATATGCAGAGCCACCACAATACTAAGTGCAGTGGGGCAGCTTGGTTATGAAGTGCTGCCTTCATAGGTGAAAATACAATAAATTCTTTGTGGCCTGTCACATTTTTTTTTCTTCACACTTTGGGATAATTGAAACCAAGACTCTGTCCCAACCCCGATGCACCGTTGCTTCGCTTCTCCTTTTGGCTTCTCATTGCAACTTGGTCCAGCTCAGCTGAGGAATGAGGAAATGGTCGCGGGGTGACGAATTACTGTATGTTGATTCATCATAAAAAATGAAGAAGCCCGACTGTAACCGACACATTTTCAAAGTTCTCGTCCAATAGAGCAGCGGACCCCAACCG